GTAAACGCTCAAGCTCACCACTAACAGCCACTCCAAAGAGAGTCAAGAGAGGTGTTAACAAGTCATTCAGCCGTGGAGCAGGGTCGAGATCCTCAGGATCACAGTCCGCCGGCGCCGAAAGCTTCCTCATCACACTACGATACACACCCCGCCGCAATACCAATGCCACGCCGTCAACAGCCTTTCAGCCACCCTCTTCCGCCAACACTCACCGTTCCTCTGCAACCGACACCCAACGCTCCACCGTCGATGCAGCCTCCAAAGGTGGTCAAGTCGACTCAGGTTACCATGCTACCATCGAACGCTCCTCCTCTAGTGCAGCCTCCGAAGCCAAGGTGGAGACCGGTCAACCCGCTAGCACCCAACGTTCATGCCAACGTTCGTCCGCGGGTACAACCTACGCAGGCGAAGCCGACACAGACGCCCATGATACCATCCACGCAGCCCGCACCCACTAGGAACGGCCTTACCTGGCCTAGAGGCACCGACGGAATCTGTCTAGTCTGCAAACAACAGCATTCCATCCTTACTAACTGCATCGATTTCCGCTCTGAAATCTCCCTCCGAATTGCCATTGATTCTCTCAGGACTAATGCGGATAGCCCTGATGTCAGAGCCTTCAGAGAAGTTTTAGTAAACCAGCTACGAAAGATAGCTATACGATGAGTAATCAGACCTTGGAGAAGCAGATCTCCCGAACCGCAATCACTAATGAACACCTACTTAATTACGCCTTGTGAATTACCTATACACCACAAAGTACGCCTCTCGAAAAAGGCGTCCAAAGACACAAGAATTGCATATCCCGACCAACACCTCTTGAATTGCACCTCCCGAATTACACCGCCTGAATTGCGTCAATTTTGATTGCCCATAGGTAGACATGCTCCTATAGGTAGATACCTTTTGCCGCTTGCATGTAAATAGTGAAGAGAGCACTGTACTGCTCTTGTCTGCCCTGACTCCTTTGCATCTGAAGGGCACATTAATTAGGTAATGAATTGCACAATACGTATGAACAAAAAAATTGGCATTTTCCTTTATCTGTAACCAAGACATTCTCTATATTATTAATGTCTTGTCCAACAGTATACAGGCCGTTTGTCACGTGGGAAACACAAGACAGAGCTGCAGGTAACCGTAAGACGCATCTAACCTTATTTGAGGTTTCTCAGCAAACGGTCATGATGGTAGCTATGTGTGTATGCGTGCGTAGGGCCCTACGTGCGTGCGTGTGCCAGCTTGCTTGAACAGGATGGTCTCAGCCGTCTATTAAAAGGGCTTGTTGCCTTTCCTACCACAACTCGTCTGGCCCTTTTTATACCATTTACCTACCCTAGGTATTCAGTAAACTGTCTGGCACAGCTTTATTTAGACAGCCGCCTTACATTTTATTTCGTTCTACGACTATCCCGCGTTGTTGATCCGGGCTTTAACACAGCGGTATAAATACGGCGCGTGCCCATTCTCGCCCGTTTGCTCTGATTAGCCCTTTTTTTTCCCCTTTGATATCCTATTTCTCGGCTCAGGCGGCGAGCATTCACTACCTAAATCTGTTTTCCTGTTGTTCAATATGGACACCGCTAACACGTCCTCTTCCACCTCTCCTCCCCTCCCCACCGCCTCCGGCCCATACCCAGTATCAGTACTCAACTCCCCCTCCGACTTGTCTTACTACTCTTCCGGAAGCTCCCACACTTCTACTAGAAACACATCTCCTGATTCTGTTGTTGCTATTTCCCCTTGTTCTAGACAGAAGCCGCATTCGCCACTTCCAGATCTCAATTTGACCGCCGATGTAGAATACACTCCCAACGCCCTGCTCGATCGCCCAACGACGAATATGGATCGAAACCCGTTCCAGTCCGTCAACGAACGTAGAAACAAGCTTGCCACGGACCGCAACAGTGCTCACCAGGTCCAGCAGTCGCAGCAACCCTTCCAGAACCAAACGCTAAGATCCAGCATGCAGGCACTGAGCCTTCAGTCCCGAGGCCTCGCTTCCTCTAACTGGAGATCGCAGGCAGCTGCTGAAGAGGCTGCGGCGATGTCAGTTCGCGGTGGCAGCGGCAGCGGCAGCGGCAGCGGACCCAACGAGTACACTCCGTTCGATCCTTCGTCTCCTACTTCCATCGGCCATCCCATGAACTTTCAGACCGGTTCCAACGTCCGACAACCCCCACACTCATCTTATACCAGCCCCCGTATGGAGCAGTTCCCTCAACAGCAGCAGCCGTCTAGCGTCGTGCCTTACCAAAGTCCAGGTATCGTATCAGAATTACAGTTGGACACCAGCTACGCCTATTGCTACGATAGAGGCAACGGCCAGTACACGCGTCTGATCCCCGCGGATATGCTCCCACTGTTGAAGGACATCCCGGCGCTGCAGCAGAACTGCTCGGGTATGATCGTGTTGCCGCAGCCAAGAACGTTGCCGCCAAACGGACGGTCGAGCAATACTGAGCCGGTTGTTCTTAGAGTGAGTTGCTATCTATCTCATCTCCATTTATTGGTACGACTTTCAGTCTGACCCAGTATGCTGACTGACCTTACAGAGCCCCCCCAATACACCGACTTCGCCTTCTGACACTATCCAGGTAAGCCCAGGGATTTGCTCGAACTCCTTACGTCAGAGAAACCGATAGAGCAGATGGGTTTCTGCCTTACTCGAGCCTCCCAGCAGCTTCCCCTTGGCCCTATCGATAGCTCTCTACATGGAATTGAATTCTTTCAACATGCAAACGCAATTTCGCGTCCCCCGCCCAACTCTACTGAGCTCCCTCAAAGTGACCTTTAGCTTCTACCAACACTATCTTCTGATCGACGTATATACTTCAAACCCCGCTAACACACCCTCTGTCAACGCAGTCCCGAATCGACACCATCGTCGCCGCTACGCCCCCGACACCTCCGTCGCACCACCAACCCTCGCTCCCCCTATCCTCCGCAGGCGGAGTCAGTGGCCTAGGCCCCGGCTCAACCGCTGCCACTGCCCCGACCGGTAGCACGCACCCGCACTCTCACCACCAACCCCATCACGGCGGCCACGCTTCTCACAGCTCCCACGGTGGCCACGGTGGTGGACATGGTAGCGGTCAACAACCCCAGCGCCGCCCCAAGATCTATTGCGATAAATGGGTCCACGAGGGCGTCTGCGCCTTCACGCAGCAGGGCTGCAAGTACAAGCACGAGATGCCGTTTGATAAGGTGACGCAGCACCAGCTAGGCCTCTTCCACGGCTTTCCGGCTTGGTGGAAGAAGCATCAGGCTGATCTGTCAAGACAGCGGGACGGGCCTGGTCCGGTTATAGGCGGAGGAGCCCTTGGGGGCGAGGAGTCGGGTAGGGAGCGGTTTCTAGGTCGGGGTGGAGGGCCTGGCGCTGCGGCGGGTAGCGGAGGTGGAGGTGGTGATACTGGCATTGGCGTCGGTTCTGGTGTTGGGAGTGGAATAGGATCTAGTCCGACTACCCCCGGCCTTCCGACTTGGCGACGCAGCGGCGAGTTCCATGCTTCGGAGCCGAAGGCGCTGGGAACGGGCCGTAGTATGGCGCGAGGTGTGGGCGCTGGTGTGAGAAATCCACTTGGTATGTTACTCCCTTATGCCTCCCAGTATACCCTCATAAGATTCGTATCTGACAAAGTCTCCTACACAGTTTCCTATGGGTCTCCCTTCGGTCCCATTGCGCCCCCAAGCCGTGGTTCTACTACAACTCCAGCTTCGATAGCCATTAACACGGCGGATTCAGCTGTCCCGGGCCCAATTCAGTCACAGCAGATCAGTGGTCCTGGTAGTGCGTCAAAGGACGCAAATGGCGGTGTCTCAACCGCTAATCCCTATTCTTCCCTTGAGTCCCTTGAGGAGAGTGGTGATGGCAACGGCACTGGCGAAGAGGTCTCAGCCCCGGTCACAAGCCCTGGCGGAGCGCGTCTAACTCGGGGCGCACAAATCCAAGGCGACAAGTAAAGCTTGAACAAAGCTCTCTTGGAGTCTCAGAATACTCCAAATTGGAAATCAGGCGTAGTATATTGGCATAGTACGCATTACTTGCCCGTATCCCTTATTTTCTGAAGTCCTCTACTACCCCTATACATACGAACGCTTCCCTTGCCACCTTATGTACTCTCTAGCAGAGGACTTCATCACACTATTTCAACCCATTCACTTGCATGCGTCCGTTCTTATGTACCCTTTTTTAGTCTGGGAAAGCTCTCATTTATCCCACGCTATGCGCACGACGACATGACTACGACTTAGAATGATTTTACGGGCAGGTGGCCACATCATTTCCCATCGCATCGAATAAAGTTCCCACGAACATGACTGACGACGCTGTCTTCTGGTTTCTGGTTTTCATCGGCGTTTTGTCCCCGTTTGCAGTTCGAAGAGAAAAGTTTGTTTCAACCAGCATCACGAGAATGGAAAAGGAGAGGGCGAGAAAAGGGGACCACATTGTCATTGTATAATAGAGTAGCTTCCAAGTCAGGATTCAAGCAAGACTAGCAGACAGGCAGATACAAGGACTCCAGCAATGGATTAAATATGACGTGGTATTTCGGATTTTACTTCACGTAACGGGTACGAGTATGCTTAAACAGTTGCATGGAATGGAAATTGTCGTTTCCTCTATCGTAGTCCATTGTTACTACAATCGTGTACTTGCCGTACATCTTAAGAAACTAAACACATCTACCTTGTTTATTGCCGCTTAAAGTTATTCCCTAGATCTAGGGCTTCTTGTGGTCTTCTGTTCTTGGCTGGTGTATATAAGAGGTACAGTACATCCTATGAACCTTCCTGCTTCAGAACGGCGATAGTGAAGCTCTAAAGGATGATATGGAAGTATTAGGAGAAGTAATATCATGTGTACGGCGCAGTCGGGCAGAAACGTTGTCCTCAGTATCGTGGCTTATTAGGCGGTGACGGTTGCAACGGCATATATACAGCTAGAACGTAAAAACTTTTATCGTTTGGAGACCCACAAAAGTGGATTTCACAATGTGGCCCGACTAGCTCACCGGTAGAGCGCCTCACTAGTATCCCTATAATGCGATGAGGAGGCAACAGGTTCGACTCCTGTGTTGGGCATAATTTTTCCCAATTTATTTCATTTTTTTTTATCTTCTAATTAAATGAACCTCTTAATATTGACGAGGTAATCCTTTCTTCCTACTTACTCTTGACTCACATAGCTTCTTACGTGGAACCATATGAGCTAGGTAGGTATTAATGGAGCATTACAAGCTAAGGAGAGATGTCTTTCAAGAGAACTTTTCCTAAACTGACTTCCATGCGTACTCTATGTATGGTATACTAGAGTTGATTCAAGCTAGTAGATACCTTATCCTAGGGGACGCGAACACGTCAGGAGCCTCGCCGCGACACATTCACTACGCGGGAGATACTGTTCCTGTGGTCGGAACGCTTGCGCAACATCGAGGTATTACCTCGACCGCCTCTGGCCGGACACAATGAAGACCCTTTTAGCGATCGTGTTCCCGTTAATACCTACTAACAAGTGCACGGAATGTAGTAAGTCTACCTAAGGTAGCTAGCCCTGATGGTCATACACTATCACGTGCCATGAATCTTTGCCTTTTCGTCCCATAGGATGATGTCCGGGAGCGGTTGATTGATGTCCCCTACAACGCTCTGCCACGTACCTCCTGCCCTCATGGATATTCGCTAGGTAATTTTCTTTTTTTTGCCTATTTGGGATTGCACGACACCTGTGGTTGGTGGAGGTTTGGGTAACCCCCACTTCTTTTAGACTTATATACAGGCGCTATATAGAGAAGCTCCTGAAAGCTGGCGTTGGAAGGCTGCTTAGTGGATATTAAGCCGGTAAATCACTTTTGGTCTTGATTTTTGGAAGCAGTCTATGTATAGGCGGACCTGGCAGCCTGGGTACCAGGGCTGGTCATCTTGGGTACTGGCTGAGGGGTGAATCCAGTGTGCATTTTCGGGGTTTTGGAAACTCCTATGCCCTATGTCGAAAGCCTTGGGCTTAGCTTGCCTAAAAGCCACTGTACTACCGTATTTCTTCGGCCTATCCTATGCGCAGCTGAAGGCGCCACAATGCCTCTACTACCGAATTGAGTAGCCCGCCGCCCGCCTGCAAGGCAGAATCAGTCTTCAGGCGTCGGAGTCACACAGGGAAAAACGCAACTCTCAATTGGATGATCTGTCAGTATGGCTTTTCTTGGCCAGAACATTGAACCAGGCTCCCAGGCCCCTCTTTGGGCGGCAATATTAGATGCGACAAGCATCACATCAATATTCAATTCATATCGGGGTCTGTACGGAGTTATGTACTATCATGGACCCCATAGCAACGATCGCTCTATTCTGCAATGTGCTCGATCTGACCGAGCGAACATATAAATGCGCCAAAAAGGCTAAAGAGGCCTATGATTCCACTTCCGGGCTATCGAAAGATCACGATCGATTACTTGAACTTACCAACGAAACAAACGCCATCCTTGACGAAATACAAGATAGCCACGAGAAGCTTCAGAAATTGGGGTTCAAGGATAGTGAAGTTCAGACAGTAGCAATCAACTGCCAGGGCTTCTCATCAAAAACCGCAGCCTTACTAGATCAATGCAGATCGAAACAGCCACACTCGATAAAAAGCGCAGTCAAGGCGACCATAAGGTCTCTGCGTGAGAAAGATAACCTTCGGAGACTCCAAGGTGATTTGGATAAAGCTCAGCAGACGCTTCACCTGGCTCTTACGGCATCTGTGAGGTATGTTCGAAAGTTTCTCGGCGTCCAATCCACCGAAGCCGTATTGTCCAAGCTAATATGATAAATAGGACCCAGGTCATCCACGTCGCAGAGGCTCTCGGCAAAACCCGTAGCGATAACGAAAAGCTCAGTCGACAACTAGAAGCAATTCCACGCACGCTTGACCCATTAGAGAACTTACCCGATCAATTTCACGAAACCCTCAACCTCTGCCGCGATGCACAAGAAATACAGAGACTCGACGACATCCTCGAGAACCTCAATCGATACTATAACGGAATACAACAGAACCCACGATATGGTGAAGTACACGATGCCTTCGAAAGCACCTTTGAATGGATTTTCCGTGAACCGGAGAAAGTCTTAGAAGCAGAACTAGGCCTTCAAGTGTCGTTCGTCGACTGGCTCCGCCGTGGACGCGGCATTTTCCATATCCTTGGGAAGCCAGGCTCCGGTAAATCGACGTTGATGAAATTCATCTGGAAGCATAAATTAAAAGAGAAAATGTTGCAGAAATGGGCACAAGGAGCGCGGCTTCTCTGTATGAAATACTTCTTTTGGAGATTCGAGCCCAACCAGAGTAGGCTGCAAGGCCTCAAATGCTCTTTAGTGACGTCCGCCCTAGAGCAGGCACCTGAGCTCTTAGACGTGCTTATCCCCAAGGCCGATAGCTACAGCACAAGATTCAATACAGACCTTGGCTACGAAGAGATATGCCGGGCGTTCGATAAACTAGTGAGCGACACTCAAATTCTGAAGCGTTATAAGATATTCATACTTCTCGATGGTCTTGATGAGTTCGATGAAAAGAGAAATGCTGAGGATTACTATGACTTGGTAAAACTCATCCAGAGCTGGACCTCCCAATCAAGAGGGAAGGTCAAAGTCTGTGTTTCCAGCAGAGAGTATGAGGCATTCACAAACGTCACTCAGAATCAAAAGCTTCGATTGCAGAACCTCACCAAAAATGACATACAGACCTACGTAACGGAGCGATTGAAGGCGCATCCTCAATTCGAGGATCTCGAAGAAGCTTGTTGGGGAAAGCCTCAGAGCCTTTGCAACAAGAGACACATATGTGACCCTGACTGCTTGATAGAACATATTGTCGGGGCGGCCGGTGGGGTCTTCCTGTGGGTTCGACTTGTGATGTCCGAGATACGAAGGTGTTTCGAGTGCGATATAGGCGAGCTATGGAAGCTTGTCGATGCCAATCCCAAAGAAATGACTGGTTTTCTGAGGCATATCCTCGATTCGATTCCTTCCCCATACCAACGAAAAGTATACATCATGTTAGCCATAGCCCACAGATATGCGACCATAGGTGCTACTAATGAGGGTCTGTCACAAACTAGTGGTCTTTCCACTCTGGGTGCATCATATTTATGGTGGAAGATGGGTCAAGATAATGCAGAATCAAGTGCCCAACAATCTGGTCCCAGTGACTCTATCTTGCAGAGATGCAAGACCACTCTACAGGAAAGCAGCACTATCACAGATGAAGCAGCCGATTCTATCCTACAGAGAAATCACTGGAATATCTTCACGGCAGAAGAAGTCAATACGCGTTTCTACGGTCTGCTTGAAATTCCAATTGAGAAAGACGGCTACTTCCTCGGTTTTAGCCATCGTTCAATCGTGGAAGTTTTGGGTGAAGTGATTGAAACCAAGTTAGACGAACACAAAGTATTCCGGGTAGAATTGGGCAAGTGGGCTTGTCAACCTACCCTCGCTGATACTATTTGCTGCCGTAAAGAGAGAGCTAGACTAGGTACATCATGCTGCTACGCTAGGCTACCGAGTCTTCTCATATCGCTCAAGAACATGGGGTTAATAGGAGACCCTTCCTTTATGCACCAGCTGGACTATATCGAAGATATCTGCCTAGCACTTGCGTTTGGAAACGCTCACCCTTCCGATAGAGACTGGTCCAGGGTGAATCCAGGTATCTGGCGGCTTGCAGTGCACGACTGGTCTCGTTTTGTTTCACTCTCCATAGTTTCTTCCGGTTGGGCTGAGGCACTACCCTGGATATGGAGGAGATTGAGAGCTGTTTCAGTACCAGAGCGAGGACACCTAGCATCCATTCTAATGACACTGGCCTGCGGGTCTGCAAGGACATCCGGAAGGAATATTGCACTCGTGGCGGAACTCCTCAGCCGTAATTTCGTCGGCATAGATATGCTTGACAAAGATGCTGAGCTACATACATCCAAATACGGCGGTCGCATTCCCTTATCGTGGATCTGGGTTATAGGCCTTTTAGTTGACTCCTTAATTAGACGAACTTTGCCTATACATAACGATGACTGGACCACTGTCGAACTGTGGTTGGATCATGGGGTCAGTCCTCAGCTTGCTTTATTTCAGTATAGTTTACCTTGTCTTTCCAGTCTGATAAAGTACGGCTCTAATGCTTACAGGGATGAAACTTCATACGAAGACAAGCTCGAATCCTACAGCCAATTAAGGATAGCTGTGAAGATCGATGGCGAATGGTTTCGGCCGATCTTCCCCGGTCCAGGGAATCCGAAATTTACGGGCCGCAAGATCGATACACCATTACAAGAACCTTATGTGACATTCAGGGAATTCATCGCGGATTCCCGTGCATATAACAAGGAACGACTACTAGAACTCATAGATCGGAACACCGCCTGGATTGAAGCTGACGAGGCAGAAAAAATCGCTATTCTCTTCAAGGAGCTTCCATCACAGGACATACTTTATGTGCCAGATTACGTACCTTCGCATAAGAGATGGACGGCCAAGCTTCCGGAGCTACACGAGGCGGCCCCTGATTACAAATACTATATCACTGGTAAGATAAATACCAGCTTGTAAATACGTGAAAGCGCGAGAGGCTCACTCGATACAGGGATCATCATACTGGCAACTTTGGCCCAGCTATCCTCTTGGGCTGTTATATGAAGGCCATCACCTCCGACTTGAGCCACTAGCGAAGAGGATAGTCTTCGTTCAGAGCTATTGGGAGAGCTGAGCGCGATATACTCTAACAAGCGAAAAGGAAGTAAAGTTTCGTGGCTCTGTCAGTGTATGGCGGATCTGTGATAAGGCGAGCGTACAGAGAGTTCAGGAGACGTAGATTGAGCACATTGGGATAAGCTGGGGTATATCCCTGGTTTTCATGAGGAGGTGAATGACGAGGGGACTGATGTCTTCCATTTCCGGAGTTAGTGTTTCCTCCTTCACCTCGTCTACTTGAAAAGAAAACATAATCTCGATCATCGGCAACCATACATATTATTCCCATTTCTTTCGCCTCCATCTGATGTATTCAAGGCAGCTACTACAGAAGTTCTTCACTAGGTACATAA